TCTTTGTCAGTGTTCAAAATTCTCCAGTAGAATTTGAACTCACAAGGATATCTCCTCAAGTAATTAAATAATTTTTACGTTAAAATACAGTTATTTATAACAAATCGAACATGCTCATCACGAATATGAGTCCGTTGCGATTCATAAAGAAACTTTAAACGTTTTTGTGATAGTCGATTTCCAGAAAACCAAAAATTATTTAAAAACGAGATCTTTCTAAGATTGTCATTTCGTGGAGCATCTAAACTATCTACTATGTCGTGTTATTTTGAAGCTTATCAAATGAGCATGAACAATGTTAAAAGATTTTGAATATAAAACATTATAACGTCGTTATTTTCTTTGTTTATCTTGGTGTTTTAATGTTTATGTTTGAAATAATTATGTACTAATAACTAGCATAAGAACATTAAAAGGTTCATTTACATTGACCATAAATTGCGAATTTCGAATGGATATTTGTGCTCGTTAGAATTTAGCGAATTTCCCACCCAAGTCCACTTTCTTGCTTCATTCACGTCGCGAATGCGGTCCTCGCTCCCCGATCGCGTTAAAATCGCGCAACTCGTGCCGCGATCGCTAACAAGTCGCTGTTGTCGTAGCGTAATCGCGATGACGTCTTATTTTTGGAAAAAATTGAAATTCGGGATTGCGATGTGACACTTTTTTCTTATAGTGATCGGGGCACTATTCCGCAATCCGAGCGCGATCACTGTAAGAAAAAACTGTCACATTTAATCACGACATGATACAGCATAGCGGCGTGTCTTCCGTGCAAATCCTATTCACCGTTTTGTTTTGCTTATGCGCCTAGTATATAACTCTTACTGATGTTTCGAAAAATGTTCAAAATCTTATCACATCTTAATAATAGCTTACGACCTGACTAATATAGTCTTGTGTAGTCGTGTCGCGCGTACGCTGTTCGTCTGCGTTCGCAGTAAAAACTCAGGTCATTTACTGATGTTAGACGGAAAACACGAATAAATAGTAACTATAGTAAAATACTTGAGAGTCATTGATTTTTGTATGAGTACGAAAAAGATAGCAATGGCTAAAAGTCGCGTCTAATTTCGCGCGTCAGCGAACGCGTTACGCGATCCTGTCGTGAATTTTTTAAAGAGACTCGCGTCACGACATGCGATAAGAAAGTGGACTTGGGCAGCTATCAGTAACATCTCTTACAGATCTGTGCTTTGTGCCTCTAGAAAAAGTTAAGAACAATCTGGCAGCAAGCAAAGTAGCTTTCAAACTATCCTAGGAACTAAAACAATTAGTGTACGTGTTAACATAAAAGCAAAATAGCGAATACATTAAAAATCGCACCGCGACAAATAGTGAGTCTGTCTCCTGTCGTGTAAGCAAGAGTCGCGACACGACAATGCCAGCGTACGTAGTTCTATGCAGAATTATATCGCGAGAATAGCAAATATATATCCCATTCAGTAGTATATTGCGACAAAATAGCGATCGCTGAAATCGCGTCTTGTTTCGCGAGTATTATAGCGATTATACGCGTAACGTGATCGCGAAAGTTGACTTTAGTAATGTCAGAACGTGCGTGTATCCAATATTCGCTCTATTTAATAAAATTTTTATTCGACCAGAACATGTTCTAAGTCGAAAAGAACTCATGCATAGAGAGTAGTAAAGAACACTGTAATAAGTATACATATTTGAAAATTGATAAACCTTTACTATTCTTTAGATATGTACCAATATTGATGGCACAAGCAAATATCTATTGGTTACAAGAAAATTATGCAGCTGTAGAAAAAATATTTAGAAAATCAGTTGAATTTTGTAATGATCATGAAAGTTGGAAACTTAATGTTAGTATTAACTATGTCATTATAGACAAAATCGTTAATTTCTTTAATATTTATATTTTAGGTGGCACATGTCTTATTTATGCAAGAAAATAAATACAAAGAAGCAAGTAAGAAATTTTATTTATTTTTAAATTATAAAAATAATTAAAGATATATTTTTCTCTTTTGAATAGTTGGATTTTATGATCCAATTGTGAAAAAAAATGAAGATAATGTATGTATACATCTTAGTAAGACAATATCGTCATTTGACAATTAATTAGTCATTTTTATCTATAGTTATTGAATGTTAGTCCAATTGTACTTGCAAATTTGTGTGTAAGTCATATTATGACAAGTCAAAATGAAGATGTATGTATTATTTGTCTATAAAACATGTTTTCATTTGATTTTTAAAAAACAAAAAATTTATTTTTTGAATTTTAGGCTGAAGAATTAATGAGAAAAATTGAACGTGAAGAAGATAAATTACCGTATGAAACACCAGAGAAAAAAGTATTTCATTTATGTATAGTTAATCTTGTAATTGGGTATGTTTCTTTGTCTAAAATATATTTATAATTTAAAATTTATTATTATTTGTTGTATTTTATTCATTTAGAACACTTTATTGTGCTAAAAATAATTATGAATTTGGTATTAGTCGTGTAATGAAAAGTTTAGAACCATATCAAAAAAAATTGGGTACAGATACATGGTTTTATACAAAACGTTGCTTTTTATCGTTATTTGAAAATATGGCTAGACATGCGGTAGTCATTAAAGATAGTGTTCTCATGGAAATGTTACAATTTCTCAGTCATTGCGAAGGTAATTTTATTCTATTATGAAAAACAAAACAAAAAAAAATAAATTGATTTCTTTTATTTTTATTTTCACTTTTATAGTATGGGGACGTGATGTAAAAGCAAATTTTGTATCACCTTTAAGTAATAAAACATTGCATGCTGGTAAAAATACGGTGGCATACGAAGCAAGATATTTAAAAGCGTTATTATTAGACTTGTTAAAATTAGAATGTTAAAATATATTTTTTGTACATTCTTCAAGAATCTTTTTATTGTTGTGTTTTTACATTTTTATTGTATAAGTTACAATAGAAAAAAATTTTGAAAAAATATGTGTAAAAAATGAATTAAAAAATTTCTGTCTTAGATAAAAAACAAAAACAAAGAAGTTCTTGAAAAAGAATGAGTTGATTATTGACTTTTGATGAAAAAGGATGGTTTGAGAATGACAGATGATGTTATGAATACTGTAAATTTAACGTTAAATTTTTAAATACAGATGTATCTGATCTAGAATAAATAAAGATAAAAGAGAATTGTAATTATACACAGATCAAAATTAAAGTTATAAAATACGAATATTAACACCTATATACAAAATAAATACAACAAAAAAAAACATTTTAGCCATTTTGTCTTGTTTATTTTTTTTACGCATCGATGATCGCTGTTCTTTGTGTAAAAATTAATGAAAGTCTATCGAATAGATTATCTAATTCTGATAGACTCATTAAATCAATAAATTTACATTTTTCACCACCATATTGTTTTAATATATTCATAGCATTTCGACCTTTTGTTTCTAATTCAATTCCAATTAATAATATATCTGTATCTAAATTTTGACAAATTTCTTTTATACGTTTACAAGAAATTGGTAATAAACTCTTTTTTGAACTAACATCTTCACCATCACTAACTAAAATAATTTGATTTCGATTTAAATCTTGTGCAAATAGACTAGCAAGCTTATTTCGTATTAAAACATCATAAATTGTACTTATAGCATCATATAAAGCTGTACCAGAATTTGGATCTTTTATTGAAGGTGTTAATCGATTTAATATCGAAGTTAATTTTAATTTAGCTCGTTCTGCTGGCACACAATCCATTACCTTTCAGACCTTGGAATTAAATACCAAACATGTTAGACGATCATTTAATCCTAATTGATTAGTAATTTTAATAATTCCTCGTTGAATAGCTGGCCAACGATTTTTTGACTCAATTATTTGATTATTTCCTTGATAACCGATCATTGACAATGAAATATCAATAACAAGTATAACATTGTAACTTTGAACGGCAACATCAAAATTAATTTGTCCAACGTTTGAAGATACTGATGCTGATGTTGACTGAACCATTGGTTGTTTATGAGGAATAAGTGCATGTATTTCTTTATAATTCTTTTGATTTGGATTTGATGGAAGATATTTTGAACATTGTGAACATTTGTAACGTATTCCTACGATTGGACAACAGTTACAAACATCACATTTAACACCATAATGAACAACTTCATCACTGTTAGTTGTAGAGGTAGTTAAATTTGAGAATGTCGCATTTTCTCCAAGATATTCTTTTAATACTTGTTCATATATTTTTTGTTGTGGATTCATTTGACAACATTTTCGGTAACAATCGATAGCTTCTTGTTTACAATTTAACATTTTTAATGCTTTACCTTTATAATAATAACCTTTTACCCAGTTTGAATCCGCTTCAATACTTGCTAATACATCTTTCAAAACTTTCTTAGCATTGTTTAATCGAGAATAACATAGAGCACGATTTGTTAAATACGGAGCATATTTTGGTACTTGTTCAAGTGCATAACTATACAATTCAATAGCTAATTAACAATTACCATCTTCACAGGCTTTATTGGCTTGAAATTTTAATTTTTCAAAACTTAGAGTTGGTATAGGTGCCACCGTTTTAGGACTTATGCTCATTTTGAGCAAAAACTATTCAAGCGTTTGAAATAACCTTAATATAAGTTTTAATTTCTTTTAGCCAATGTAAAATTTAAAAAAATGTAAGATTACTTTGTAGAAAAAAGATATGCTATCGAAAAAAAATATTTTTCATTGATATTTTTTGTATTCAACAACAGAGAATGGAAAAAAACAAAACAAATGAAATAACATTCATCAGTCGTTATACGGATGTTTAACCCAGAAAGGGTTGATATTTTATTTCTTTTCATGGGTTAGAAAAAAGTTGAGAATGTATATTTTCCTATTCTGATTTAATATACAAATTTTGACATTTTAGAATTGAAAATAACAACATTTTTCGATTGTATAACTGAGAAGAAACTATTACTACAGTCGTTGAGTAATGAAACAAAACTAAATATTCAATACATTCAATAAACTTTCTTGATATATGACATAAAAAAGTTTAAGAGTACTCCAATAGTAGTAAACAACTTTATTGAGACGTTTCGTTCTTCACTTCAGAACGTCATCAGTCAGACTGATGAAGAGCAAAATGTGTGAATAAAATTGTGTACTTTAGCAAAGGATAAAAAGGTGAGATTAATCTTATTATTTCTAATCAAATTATTCACCTTAAAAAACAGATTGTTCAATCCGATAGTAGTATTATGACGAAATAAAAATCAATAGTTAGTGTCAACGCCGATTATCAATACACAGAAAAAACGAATTAAGATTATACAAAAATACAAGGGATATCTTAACATTTTAGTTGTAGTGATTTGTTTCCATCTGAGTCTGTATACAACGAATGTGATGATATAGTTTTATAACTATGTTGAACTGTAGATGCTCGTCTTGATGATAGATAATCATCAATAATTATTGAATGTTTTCGACCATGTATTTTCGAATGTATCAAACGTATTGGTTGTGATTTTTCTGAAAGTGTTTTTTCTAAAAGAATTGGTGTTGTACGCATAGATCTTCTCATTCTTAATATTATATTTTTATCTGACATTGTATTTACTATATTCTCCTTATTTCTTGTACTATTATCATCAATACCAATACTTTCCTCTGGCAATGTTTTTCGATGTAACGTTTGCCGTTCTTTGTTTGGATTAATGGATATATCTCTCACAGCTCGAAATTGACCACAATTATTTAAATGTTCGTTTTCCAAACGAAAATAATTCCATAAAAAACGACGAATACATTCAATTAAACCTGTTAAACAGAAAAACATGTTTTAGTTCAAGATTTTTTCAAAGTATTAGTTTTTAAAACAGTGATACCGATCACATAGAGACTGAGAATTGACACAGTTTATTTGTTTTTTTGCCTAAAAATAGTTTCATAACTAGTAGAAAAGTATTTCTATTCTATTTTAAGTAATTTTACATATTTTTTTGTTACCAAAATTCGAGTAATTCCTCATAGTTCACCACTCAGAGATTACCTATAGGATAACGAAAAGATGTTTTTCACACGTTTTTTCCGCTTATATACAATTAAGTAAATATACAAATGGTCTCGGAAATTATCTGTAAAAAATCATAGTTAACCGTGGTATCTTGACGACAATAGAGTACTTCGAATAAACTTATATACACAATATAGTCGACAACTAAACGTAATTTAACACAAACTAATTACTCTTGCAGTGAATCAACTACGAATTATAAACCTAAATCTGCATTAAGTAAACACGTTTTACAAACCGGATATTCTATCAATTTCAATAAAATAAATATACTGGGCTCACGATAACAGAAACTACAGATTACTAGTACGAGAATCCTTGGCTATAAGAGAAAATTTTCCTCAGTTTAATGGCACGAATAGATCGGTACCTCTTTTTATATATCTTAAAGGAATTTTAAGTAAAATTTCCAGAGCAAGAATGAAAAATTGATGCTCATTCTTTCTTTTATCTCGTTTATTTTCTCTCACTAATTTGCTTGGACAGTTCTTATACATATGTTTTTTGTGTTGACATTCTTATCTTATAATTGTTAGCACATATGGATTTATATAGTTATATTTATTCTGTCTTTCTTTATACATGTATCGAAAACGTCACATCATCATATATCTCTATCTACAGTGTATATATTTTCTCTGATGATCAGTCGATGACTCGAAACGTTAGAATAAAAGTTTTAAATAAAATAAATAATTAATTTATGCTGGAAAATAAATATTATGAGTTTACACAAAGTCCTACTATTACATACCCCCTTAAACTATTTATAATATCTTCATTAGTTTTCCTGAGAGTCTCAAACCTGATATTAGACGTTTTTGGGAGTAAATGGAAACATGAGTAAAATCTCGTCGCACATCCAAAATAAAGTGAAAAAACTTAGTGAACAGGAGTTTTTAAGAGAATATCCTAATTTAAGCTTTGACTATAGAAACGTGATAAAGTCATATCTCATTCAAAACTAAACTAAATTACTTAAAATATCTAAAAAATATTTTACTTAACTTAGTTTGCAACTTGACAGGGTTTGAAAAGTTAATACTTTTTGTTTTATCTTTGAGATTTGGAGAGATTTTTTAGAAATTCATTTCATCGTAAATGGCATAAAACTTATTATAAAATTCGAGGATGATCTAAATATTCAATCGAAGCATCTAATCGTGTTTTGTACACACGCATAAAATTGATGCTGATTATCAATCTTCCATCATTCTCCTTACCTAAGATAAACGTAATTAATTCAATATTTTCGATGTATTCGTGTTTAACTGTTAAATACACTCTTAATATCCAAATATATCGAAATATAAAATTTTCAATAATCACTGCATAGTAGTAAAACTTTTTTGGATATACGAGTTCTTCTCTCAAGAACACATTTTCTCCCGCTTGTTTATCAAAAAAACCCCAATCCATTTTAATATCCCAACCGTACTTGAATCCACTATTAATGATTTGTGTTAGTATCCACAAGTAGAAGAATGGATTTGTAGCTTGTGTTAAATATTTTAACGAAAAATAACGCTGTAATCCGTTTGCAAATGCAACAAGTAAACCGGCTGAATATTTAATGGCATTTAATAAATGTGGAAATATTAGTCTCGTATCGCGATAACGACGCAAACATTGTGCCATACGAAACCAAGACGGCAACGCTCCAATGATTGTTTGAAATAAAATATTGATCGAAGCTTTTGGAAAAAAAAGTTGAACTAGATGAGATAGATGTCTGGATCATATTTAAAACTTACCTTGACAAATTGGTGCATTGAACAATGTTATTTGTTCATCTGATAAACTCGATTGTGACTGCGTTGAATTTATATTCAAATAAGATTGCAATTCTGATTTCCATTTAGTATCAAAAGTGGAATGACAAATCAAATATTCAATATCATAAAATATCAAATCTAAACTAGTGAATTGGTCAGCTAGCCAAAAATCAGCAAATGTGACGGTATGAAATGGAGCGGAGAATATTCGAAACATTCGACGAATTAACCAGTAACGAGCGGGACGAAATAAAATGGGTAACGGATTACACAGAATGATGATGAGTAATAAAATAAATGTTAGAGGTTGTAAATGTGGTTGAATATTGTAATATTCACATAGAACAAAGGCTAGAGCAAGTATAAACACATTTTATTGATTATTTGTGTCTAAATATACTGTTGTTTTTACCTAAAAAACTAAGACACCAAATGAGTGCTAAAATACTTCCACCTTCTAATATTTCTTCGTGTGACATGTGATTTCTTGGATCTAATTCAAATATGAGAACATGATTAACACCGTACATTGACCAACCTCGTACATTTAAACCGACTAAGAGTATGTGAATAATGAGAATTAATGATGAGCGATAAAGTACAGTTGCTAGTTGCCAGTCGATAGGTCTAGTATTCGATTGAACATAGGAATTGTCACGAGTTAGAAAATATACAATGAATAAAACAATTATCAACACAATCAGAATACCGTTGATAAGACCTAAAAATAATAGCAGCGGATATGTTCTCATAAGTTTAGATAACGTAACAGTTAGAGTATTAATTGAAATTAGTTAAAGATAAATGGTTTGTGGTAAGAATGAAATTTGAGTACTTTTGCACACGTCCACCCACTTTATGCAGAGTATCTTGCCGCAAAAATTTCACTTTGCCCATCATGTAGAGCATCAAAAATAACCTAAAGATCCCACTTACCCTTTTTTGAAAAAGCGTGTGAAAAGGGGTTTTTTTCAAGATAGGAACTACTTTGTAGGATCTATAACTTTGCCCATACAACTATTCACTATCGCTACACTTTCCATTTTTTACCCTCCGTTTTCCAGAAAACCTGTTAAAACCTTACTTCATGAAAAGAAAATTGAGCTATTATGACTCTATATTCCTATTCCTGTTCAGCATGAAGAATTCAGTGTACTTCAACGTTTTCGGAGGCTTCTTTGTGTTTCTGTACCACAGTTCTCTAAGAGGATTTCTGGAAAACTGAGTCATAATAGCTCAATTTTCTTTTCATGAAGTAAGGTTTTAACGGGTTTTTTGGAAAACGAAGGGTGAAAAATGGAAAGTGTAGCGATAGTGGGTTGTATGGGCAAAGTTATAGATCCTACAAAGTAGTTCCTATCTTGAAAAAATCTCGAAAAATTTTCGGAGCGTTTAGGAGAAAATGAAGATCAAACTTCAGGAATTTTTCAAGTAAATTGGGTACCACTCGAATGTAAAGTTAGACCGAGACCGAATTCCTTCACCATTAGAATCAACTCGTCAAGAGCTACAATTTGATGTATAATTATGCAATGCTTCGTTCATTTCAACCGACTTCGGTTTCCCCCTCATCAAAAACTTGAGGTGTCTAGCAAACCACTTTCCACACGCTTTTTCAAAAAAGGGTAAGCGAGATCTTTAGGTTATTTTTGATGCTCTACATGATGGGCAAAGTGAAATTTTTGCGGCAAGATGCTTGCATAAAGTGGGCGGATCTGCGAGGAAGGATCCATTTAGTTTTGACATATTTTGTATAATTGAAGTATCTGTAAGCATAGTAAGGTAAGATTTACATCGAAATTGTCAGTTTTCTGCTTTAGAATATATTTCAATCGAAGAAAGCCGAGAAAGAAGGCCAAGTTCATCTAGAAACTTGTATTTATCTACTTTACTGCAGGAAACTCTTGATTATAAAAGTCGAACGTTAGATAATGTTTTTTCAGTGCCTAAAGTAATCTACATTTGTTATGAAAAAAAGTAGTATGGTTAGATCAACAAACATCTTCAATAACGAGCAAAAATATAAGGAAAAAACATCCTAGAAGTAATTAAAAAGTAATTAAACTAAAGATCTGAATCTTATCGCGGGGTCTAATACGATTGCCTCAGAAAGAGATATGATCTCAGGGGTATGACATAATATAACGATTGTACACCTGACACTCATTCCAGCTATATCTTGGATATCTCTTTTCAAGACAGTCATCGCACACTCCTATTGTTATACACTCAATTTGACTTTCTAATCTCAACTCTAAACAACTCGAACAAATATAAGGCTTTCTAAACAATTTTCTCATCACTTTCAATTATGAACAGTTATATGAAACTGACAAATAGCTATAACGAACTATATGTGTCGAAAATTCAAAGCAAATGAAATTTTATGATGTTTTACCGAGTTTATATGTGACTGCTCGTTTATGAATTTGCGATAGAGGTGGTACTCTCAACTTTTGCATGGCTTGTTTTCGATTTCCATCTTCTAATTGTTCAGTGACTAGTTTTTCTACTTCATCAATTAGAGTAGCCACTCTTGTATTCGTTGAAAATGATGCTTGTTCAACATTTTCTTGAAACCAATTTGCACCATTTTGCTCATAAAAGAGTTTATCATGCTTTTTAAGAATTTTTCGAAAACCCATATAGTTGAGAGTTTGATAATTTTGTAATAAAACTAATAACAAATAAAGTTCACTAAATGCGAGTTTGAGATCATGTACACGACGATAACGACTTGAATGTTGTAAATTATTAACAGGTAAATGTTTACCAAATATAATTTGAGGATTGAACCATCTTAAAAAAAGAAAGAGACTTTTTTATCATAAATTTCATTTTTACTTATTATTCGTTTACCCATGTCTCGATGGCGATGAACGTTTTTCTTGTATTTCATTTGAAAAATAGCTTAGCTCTGTTTTCAAATCATCAAAACGTCTGATGGCTTCGGATAATTTTTCAGCAAAAAATATGTTAATTTTATTCAATTCTTTTTCACAATATTGAAAAAATCGTTCATCAATGCGATCAAAATATCGTTTACGTATAGTCGATGTCGTTTCAGTCGGTTGTGGTGTTCGATCATAAGCAGCATATAAGATGGTCACAATATCTTCATATTTGATGTATTGGGAATGCCATTCAGGAGTAATATGAGCAGCTAAATGATTAGCAAATTTAATGCCGAATAAATCACGACCCATTCTAGCTGAAAAAGTAGATATAATAGTAATTGCAACATTATGATAAAACAAGTACTAATCAAATCAAATTAAAGTGTGCATGTAGCTAATTTAATCATAACATATGCTAACCTGAGGCTAAGAGCCTGGACACGAAAACGAATGGATTAAAAATAACTCTAAAAACTTGAGCATTTTCCACAGGAAGAACAAGGAGAGGTTAATGAATGAATGACTCATCAACTGTTCTTTCTGATGGCGGGACTTATCATATGGCTATTTCTATATAATAGTTATACGTCAACTTTTGCATTACTTTTTCTATCGGATGAATGATTGTGTTTATTTTGAACTGCACCAATATTCGTAATGATTGATGGATAACCGAAGCAAAATGAGTTTGCACTTCGAAAATTTGATTTTACTCTGTTTTATCATGAAATGCTTTGATAAATTCATAAGAATCCGCTTCGTTTGAACTTCTCATTAAAACCACTTTCACAATAGATACATACCTTTATGTGAAAAATAATTTCACAGTGGTGAATCTTGTGATCTCCAAAGCTTGAAGACAAAGACCAGAGATGTTTCAACTTTTTAACAATACCAGTATATGAATCTACTAAACTTCTACTTTTTTCGCTAAAAGTTTTAAGCTGATCTGCTTTAACAGATTTATGGTCAGTTAAAATTGGGATAATGCAATCAAATATGCACTATATTTCTAACATGAACATTGAAATTTTGATGAATAATCAATCATATTTGAATAATCATGAAACCTATCCATGAGATTTTCAATGACAGTTGTCTAAAAGCTTGATATTCAGTCTATATAAAACCAAATGATTTTTCTATATAATATAAAAATTTGATGCACGAGTGAAGGTGAGAGTGATTGATTATAAAGTATATCAACCACTGAGATATCGTAGACTGAGCGACACTCAGTTCAACGCTAAATGTAAAAACTTCATGTTTTGGACTGTATAGGAGATTGGTTTTCAGAAACAGTTATCATCTACTCGCTGAGGTGCGAGACTGTCAATATCACTGTTTATCATAGTGTGTTGTTTCTCATAAATGTAATCAAACTGTTTTCCAGAGACAAACAAAAATAAGATTATCGTTCTATATTTGTACATATTAACTGATGTATTCGATGACATTTTTCCTTATTATTTTTTCTAATTTGGAAGTATTTCCCTAGATACGTCAGTACACGTCTTGACCAACTCAGATCATTTTACACTGGCCGATTTTTGGGCTTGGCACTAAATTGGTGTTAGAAATGATACCAGAAACCAAAAAAACAAAATAACTGAAAAATGGCAAAAACACTATTCTTAAGGAAGGAAATAAACAGAAACTTTATGAACCCTTTCATACAACGGTTCGTTAATGATAGAACAACAGTCTGAAAAAAAGTGTAAACGGATCATTTTCTGATCGCAAAGCGTCCAGTTAAATCGTGTGAAAATGGTTCGTTAACGATACACTTATAATCCCTTAAAGGAGGCTCAGTCCATATGAAACTGACCACCAGTACGTCAACGTTAGGCGCCAGTGACGAGATCTACCTCATATTATAGAGCTCGGGGAGCTGAATCAAACGGTGAAAACCAGAAGTCTTTAATCTTGTTAGAAAAAAAGCTACACCCATTTTACCCTTGCAGCGGAAAAGCGCATTTTTTTGTCATTTTCCAGCGGATTTCCTCTAATTTGTAAAATGTCTACTGACTACGCTCCGTAACGTAGAACCTTACGCGTGATCTCAAACGACACAGCGCATCAAATTCCATATGTTTTGATTAAAAAAAGTTATGCGACACTTCTGGATCTTGAGGAAAAGATTTCTGAAAAACTCGGTTTTTAGACCTAGCTACCATAAAAAAGTTCATTTCAGCAGTTTTTCAACATACAATTGGATAGCCCGTTTAATTCTCTACAAACTGAGATGTCAGCCAAGTTTCTACGAGCTTGGACGATCGACTTACAAGCTTCGTAACATTAATTGCATAAAGTCATTGAACATTTTCAATCTGATGCCGAAGTTTCGACCAGCATCGTATTTCCTACGTTACCTTTCGATAAGATTCATTCTTGTTTCGTTTACAGCAATTAAAATATTATTGTTTCGTTGACACTAATTTCTTGCTCGATTCGTTGACACTTTTTTTATCTTGTTCGTTGACATATTTATAAATCAATTACGCTTGATTCTTATTTCGTCGACAGCTTTTTTTATCCATTGTAAGACATAGAATTATAGTTGCAATTATAGAGTTTTTATGATTTTTCTAGTAGTTAAACAAATAACAATTCAAAATGATCATGCATACAATATAGTCTTAAAAAAACATTTACTAAAAAGATCAAAACTTTTTAACACCTAATATTTTGGATACCTTACACAAAAAGTCATTTAAATTTATACTATTTTGTTTATATCTATCTTCTAAATTATATAAATGATTATTATGATTAACATATAATTTCTTACGTGGCGGTAAACTATTTTGCTTTGTATAAATATTTTTCAAGTCTATATTATATGCATGATCATTTTGGATTGATTGGATAAATGTATAAAAACCAAAAAAAACTGATCAATCAAAAAAACTGTTTCCCGTACACTATTAGTTTTGACAAACAAATCCGTTGCACAGTTGATCTTTTTTATTGAATTTTATCAACTTTTTTCAAATTTAAAATTGTAGTATTTTTATAATTGCAACTATAATTCCATGTTTTACAATGGATAAAAAAAGCTGTCGATGAAACAAGAATCTAGCTTAATTAATTATAAATAGACTGTCGACGAAACAAGATAGAAAAAGTGTCGATGAATCGAGCAAGAAATTAGTGTTGACAAAACAAGAATACCCCTTTCGATAGAACACCATATAAACTCGCCTCATCGTGGTAGGTTTCATATGGATTCATGCAACAGTTAACTGCCCGATAAGAACATCGTTTTCACGAACCCGAGATGTGACGCGACGTTACACTTTGGGTGCAATTATTTTTTTCGAAAAATAGAGAAGTTAGAGAGTTGATTCTTGCATCATTGTGTGCATTTCAGTTGTCCGGATTTAATCCCAAAATTTGAACTTGTTGGAGTAAGTTATTTTTGAAACTACAGTCAAAATAGAGTGTTATCCTTTATTGAAAAACTTTCGTTTTAAAATTTTTCAAACTATCGCATGAAAATTATTTTGGAAAAAGTTCCCGTTTATTACTGCGATAATTCAAGAATTACCATTGGTATGACATTATGCTTTATCAGTTTTAACGTACAATTCGAGTATCAATATTTTTGATCAGCAAATTAAATAGTAGACAGACAACAAAAAGAATATAATGAAAATGTATACAAGAGTAATTTTGATCTCCTTAGATCATAATGATTTTATCAACTTATAGATAAATATTTTTCCTTCTTAATAAACTTTATTTATTTATTTCTAAACGTTTCGATTGACTAGCTCAATCCTCATCAGTGAATGGATATAAACAATTAATTAAATTAAATTAAAATATATATCTAAATTGAACAAAATTTTCTTTTTTTTAATAATACATAGGAAGGAACTACAGGGGATGACAAAAACTGTGTCATGACAGATCATCTTTAACTTTTTCTTTTTATACTATCTTTTTTGCTTCTTTTCTTTCATAATCTAGAAAATTCTTGCTTGTACAAATTAAAAAATTTAAAAGAATAAGAAAGAATGGGAATCAAACATTTAGAAGACTTATTTAAAAAAAAAGGAAATTTTGTTCAATTTGTATATTTTAATTTAATTTAATTCATTGTTTGTATCTACTGATAAGGATTGAGCTAGTCAATCAAAACGTTTGAAAATAAATAAAGGAAAAATATTTATTTATAATTATAAAAAAAAAGTTGAGCCATTCTTTAGAATAAAAACGTTTTTCAGACGATTTTAATAAGACAAAAACAAATCTTCATTTATTATTGAATACTCTTACCATAATCAAGAGCATACGTTATTATGTCAGATTTCTTCCTACTTTATAAGAAATAACGTTTTGTTTTTCTTCTTCTTCGTATATGTCGCACTTGTAAGGCGTGTGCGCTCGGTGATATAATTCAAATTTATTGTATAATAACAATAAAAATATCGATTAAGTGAAAAAACAAAAAAAAACATTTATAACATACACAATTAAAGTGAAAAATCAAATTGTGACTAGATATCATATGAATTATTTATAATTTACAGACATGAAAAACTATCATTAATTAATAAAATTATAGTTCACGCAGAAATCGACACACTTCGCATAGCTTATATCCATTTTACAAACGGGTTCTTTGAATTGAAATATTTAAAGGCGGTAAGATTCCCACGCTAGCACCTGGAATAAAATTTAATTCACAATTTTCATTTACACTACTTACATTAGTCGCTGCCGATGGAGTACTAGGAGAAAAAAAGAGAAAAAAACGCTTATTTATGATCGAAAAGAAGCAAATTGAAGCATTTTTTTTAAATCTAAGCATGTGTTAAAGTGTAATAGAGCGTCAAGTGTATATTAGCATTTGAGCGGTTAATTTTGTTGATCATCATTGTTTCATTTTTATTTAAAAAATAAAAAAATGAAACAACAACATAATTCACATATGTTTCCCCCCCGGCGCCGGGCGGGGGGGGGGGGGGGGGGGGGGGGGGGGGGGGGGGGGGGGGGGGGGGGGGGGGGGGGCCGGGGGGGGGCGGTGGGTTGGGCGGGGGGG